ATCATCAGGGGGGTACGAGACTACATGGTGGTTTTGGTGTTATCTGACACAGGATAGGTGATGTTTGTGCTGGATGCAGTCCGAATAAATTTTAATCCTGGGGTCACAATCATTTTGTCTTATTAACTCGCGGGCAGGAGTCTTATACACGAGAAAAAAAATTATGGATGACCCATTGCAGTTTGATTGGCTGAGAAAAGGAGTTAACTTGAATGAAATAAATATTGTCACAGAAAAGTCGATGTTCCATTGTCATTTTCTCCCAATACGGTGTGGGGATAATATTTTTTAATCCTATCTACTAGGTTTGAGGAATGTTGGCTTGTGATATTCCCATATTTTTTGCATCCATATAAGTTTATTCACACGGAATGTATTTTTTTTTTTTTGAAATACTCAAATATGCCTCTCACTACTGCAAAAGAAACCTTCCAAAACCCAATTTGGGTACAGGTTCTTTTCTGATCCGCCAACATACTCCATCTTTGTACAAGCGTGGTTCTTCGTTTGTTTTGAAACTTCTTTTTAATTTTCTACACCGCCATTTTGTGAAGCAGACCATAAAATGGACGCATAAACAGTTATTTTAAGAAAGCCATTGTAAATCAGTAATTAATATAACAGTGCAATAGTAAGTAATACTGGGTGAAAATATCGTGGATCGTCTGTCTTTAGATTTAATAATATTTATTTTCTGTTAATTCAACTTGAAAACCGAGAAGCGTTAAGACGTAAATGTGTTTTGAAGTATTGCATGGAAGTAAACATACATTGTGCATTTTAACAACAAAACAGCACATAAACATTAGAAATGTTGCGAAACAGAAAAATTAATATGATTACTTATCTTTGCTTAATTAAATAACATAACATATTTCACCATCCCAAAAATTATATTGTGTCGACCATGGCAACAGTTATAATACTATGCCATAAGGTCGAAAATCCCTTATCAGCAGCAAGTGACCGACCAACTGTACCCCTAAAACATTACATATTCCTACACGAGATGATAAATTTTATGGAACTGAAGAAGGCAGGAGATATGTGTTATCAGTAGCTGATATCTTGTGTCCTATTCTTTATCGAATGTGATGACTCAATGCAGATGAGAGATTTATGATACGATAAAGTGATAATGATTAATCAATAAGATGACCGAACAGATGTTCGTGAGTTTGCTCGCGGGCAACGCCATCCGATTTCAGGCAGCTGTTTGTTAAAGGCA